TTTTCATCCTTACCCAAATGAACTTTGTTACTTAGTGAATGTCCTTTAATCTTAAATGGTTTGTTATTCCAGCCCAGAGGTCATATAAGGTTCTTGAATCATCAATACCAGTCAGCATCACAAAACTTCCCAAAGAGAAGCAGTTCTAGGCTTCACATTAGAGGCGAGTTAATTAAATGTTTGATAAAATACAGAAGGCTGAGTTAGTTACTTTATTGTGCCAACCTGGCTGATAAACACATGTGGGGTTAATTGAATGGCGGAGGAATAAATGGCTCGGTGGACCTCATCTTTCTAGTTCTCGTGTCTCTTGCTCTGTGATGGTCGCACCAGGGTGCAGCTACCTTAGCAGTTCCCTGCTTCAGCTGGCAAGGCTGAATTCCTGCAAGACAACCCCAAGGAGAAGCCACATGGACCTACCCTGATGCAGCCCTGCATGCTGGAGCAACCATGTGGAGACCCCTACCAGTGCTGAGATGCTTACATATTCACTGACTCAGCTTTCCTCCTGCAGTCGGCATCATAGTGTGTGTTTTGTGAGATGGAGGAGGACTTTGTGGATTGGTGTTGGACATATGGGGTTAATGGGTTAATGTTGGACTTGCGGGTTTGGGCAGCACTGGGTTGGGATGTTTTCTTGATGTGCATTACCCTTTACATAAAACTCTCTCTTATACATGAGTTTCTGTGGATTTGTTTCTCTAAAGTACCCAGACTATCACACAGGCTAATTTTTAAGGTAATAATTTTGTATTGCGGCTGAATGATATTATAAATATCCAAATAGCCCTTGGCAGAAAAAAAAGGTTCCCCATTCCTATTCTGAGGAGTGTGTGTACCTCATTAATGATATTGTTCCCATTTTAGACTCATCTATTGTTTAACTGAAAACTGAGCCATGTGGGTGACATTCTAGACATGAAGAATGACTAAGGGGGATAATCTCATGGGCTTCACCAGTCTCTATCCAAGTATTACATTTGTTATCTTTTATGATTTGTACTTTTGTTCCACCTATTTTTTCCTCCCATTCTATCTGTAAACTTCAAATGTGATCACAGTTGGTAGTAGTCAAAAACTATCTTTAGGTTTTCCATTAGTCTATTAGACTAAATGTTTCCATGTGACTTTTGATTTTCATTTTTCTTCTTTCCTTTGGATAGGAAAAGATCAATACTTCCACTTTGATGGCCCCTCATGAGCTTTTAAGATTCCAATGACTACTTTTCAAAATATTGTCTTTGTAGACGCTGTTATGCCGATTGACCTTTGTCCCTTAAGACGATGGGCCTGTCTCCACAGGTCCAAAGACTCATTATCTCAACATGTTTGGTCTACGAATTTTTATAACTTTTCCCACTGTGTTCTCCACCACAATCATGGCTATATTTGTGAAAAATATAAATACCTATCTAAAATAACCTCTATCAATCTATATGTGTTTGTTGGTATACTCCCATATGTATTCAGCCTGTGTATCTATTTATCTTGATGTTTTACTGTCCTAGACACACTCTTTGATCTCTGTTCAAAGATATTCCCCTATCGAAGTACTGTTACCCCATTATTGAACACTTATTACATATGCTAGCTTATGCTCAAAATATATATTTTATTTCCAATTTTAGAAGTTAGAATGTTTCTTAATCACAATGTGAACATCATGTATACTGTCTCCTTCCCTGTTATCCACTGGAAATTCTTAGAGGAATTCTCTTGCTAAGCTCTTATAAAAGAAAACATGTGATTTTGATAAGTAAAGAAACTGGTATTTAGTGTTCCTATCTTCTAGTTTGTGATTACTCTTCTTACTTTTATCTTCCAATGCATTTTTACAAACAATAAAATCTTTGTTAGCCTGTGACCTCTTCCTTACAGTCATGGGAATCAAATAAGAGATTTTAGTCATTTATGAAAAGAAATGTATAGATAGTGGAAGTGGAGAAAGAAAATAAAATATACTTTCATATTTATAAAGTAAAAAACAAATGGTTTGATCTTTTGCTGTATCTAGGATATCCAAGAAAAGAACGTTTTAAAGATGAGTTCCAGATTTATAACTTGCATAACTGAATAAATGGTGGTGCTAATTGCTGAGTTGGAGAACATTTATAAAAGAAAATAACTGGGTTAAAAACACTGTAAACAAATCAAGAACACATAAAAAAATTCAATAAGTGAAAAATAAGATGAAGTATTCTATAAAATCAAGGTCAGTGTGGCTAAGGATTGCCAAAGGAAAAGACTAGGCTGAAGTCGAGGAGCTAGTCTGAGAGCAGATATGGTTTTGTGGACATCTGTGAATGGTAAGGGTTTTACAATAATCAAAATAATAAGTTGAGATGTTTAACATGAAATTAATATTTTTTCTTAAATTTTAGCAATACAGTTTTACATAAATTAAATGGAATCAACTGAAGTCATTGAATGGTTGTCACACAATCCAGGCAAAAGATGATGATGACCTGAGTAAAAAGATTGTAGAGTATATGATATAATTACAAAGAAAATCAAGATATATTTTGAAGTTACAATGATAAGTCATACTGAGGTCTATGTGAGGGGATCAGGAGAGTGGTTGAGAGAAAGGGAAAAAAAATCAAGGCCATCTCTAGGTCACTAAGAAAATGATGGCATGATGGCAGGGGAAGAGAGCAAAAGGTTTTTGGAAGGACAATACTAATAATGATGAGGAGTCCGCTTTGAATATGTTAAATTTGAGCTGTGAACCATCAAAGTGAAGATATCAAACATTTGTTGTAAATGTAAGGCAGAAGTTCAACAAAATATCTGCATTGGAGATCCATATCTCCAATGTATTTTAAATCTGCAGGAAAAGGTGCATCAAGTAGCCAGAGAGAGGATAAAGAAAGAAGAGAATTAGACATTAATTAGAATCAAAGATGAGTCTTTAGGTTAAACAGAAGATGAGCAAGTAAAAAAAAAAAATCTGAAAAAGAGCACTAGTGAGAAAGAAGGAAAACCAGGAGAACGTAGAATGAGGGAACAGGGGAAAGCAAGGCAGAGTGGTTCACACTGGTAGGAAGTCAAGTCAGAGGAAGCTAGGAAAGTTGCATTGGATTGAGTAACATGCATAGTAATGTAATCATTTGACACAGAATAAAGTCAATGAAGTGGTGATGATGAAAACTGAATGGTAGAAAAAAGGAAATATAACTGGCATTGAGGTCATGAAAATGTGTGGTGAAAGCACAAAAGTTTATTAAAGAAGAGTTTTAAAGAAATAAAGTATATTTATAAAACTATGGGGCAAAAGATTTTTAATTGCAATATTCTGGTACATGCAAACTGAAGGGAATAATCTGGCAGAAAGGGAATAATTATAAAGGATGGATAAAGACATTAATCTAAGAATAAAGTCCACAAAAAGATTTTTTTTTAGTTAAATAGAAGTAGTATAATTAACATGAGTGGAAGAAATGGCCTTTGATAGATTGGGAACATTTTCTTTATAATAGGAGAAAATAATGTTAGAGAAAATATACGTAGATTGGCAGGTGGAAGAGAGTATTTCTAAGTATGATTTTTATTTTTTCAGTACTAAAAAAATAACAACTGAGAGTTATCAGAAAGCCCAGGCAAAAGCTTAACAAATGTCACATTTAGTATTAGTATCAAGGCGGAGGAGAAGCTAGACGGTTAGGGAGAAAGCAAGGAGTAGCTAGTGTCATAAAAGTCCTGGATTCGGGGTGAAGAGAACAAATAGAGTCGTGGAGCATGTTAAATGAAACCATTAGAAAGAAAAAGAATTGAAAGAAGGAAGACGTTTTCTGTCAGCCCAATACCTTTAAGAATTATAGATAATATAATTAAGGAGGTTTTGTGTGAGGGGGTTGCTTGTGGGATTTTTTGTTTTGTTTTGTTTTTAGTTTATGAACTGTAAAAGTACATTCATATTTTGAAAACCATACAAATGTGATGATTTGTAATGGAGAACCATTTATCCCTAAATAAATGTTAGAAAGACTTAATGGAAGAAATAGAGGGTAGGTTTGCATTAAAGACACATTGCGGGGCAAATGGTGCTAATGATAATAAATATTTTTGTTAAGATCCCTTTTGGAGTTCTTAGACATTTTTTTAAATCATTTTATCGGGGCTCATACAATTCATCACAATACATAGATCAATTGTGTAAAGCACAGCTATACATCTGTTGCCCTCATCATTCTCAAAATTCGCTTTCCTCTTGGGTTCCTGGAATTAGCTCATTTTCCCTTTTTCCTTTCCCCCTCCCTCCCCACTCCCCCTTCCCTCATGAACCCTTAATCATTTATAAATTATTATTGTATCTTATCTTACACTGCCCGGCGTCTCCCTTCACCCACCCTTCTGTTGCCCATCCCCCAGAGTGGAGGTTATATGTAGATCCTTGTGATCAATTCTCACTTTCTAGCCCCCCACCCCCTTCCCTCCTGGTATCACCACTGTCATCTCTGGTCCTGAGGGGTTCATCTGTCCTAGATTCCCTGCGTTTCCAGTTCCCATCTGTACCGCTGTGCATCCTCTGGTCTAACCAGGTTTGCAAGGTAGGATTGGGGTCATGGTAGTTGGGGGGAGGAAGTGTTCAAGAACTAGAGGAAGTTGTGGGTTTCATTATTGCTATAATGAACCCTAAGTGACTCATCTCCTCCCCACTACCTCTCTGCAAGGTATGTCCAGTTGTCTACAGATGGGCATTGGGTCCCCATCACGCGCCACCCTCATTCACGATGATATGATTTTTTCGCCTCCCACCTTGTGTTTGAAGCCTGGTCCCTTCGGCCCTTCATGATCATACATGTTGGTGTGCTGCTTCCATGTGAGCTTTGTTGCTTTTGGGTTAGACATTTCTTTGACAAATAGGTTAGTGAGTCTTCTAACTCATAGCAAAATATAATTTGAAGTTATTATTATTGCAAATTGAGTAAGTATACCTTTTATGAGAGAAATAATTATGGTAATAAATAAGTATATATAAAAGACATACACAGTTATTATTCTGGGTATATGTATTTAATTTGAATTTTATAATTTAGATTCAGCATGAATTGCAATAAATGGATCCTCAGCAGTATTACTAATGGAAAAATTAGCCTTGCCATCGCCGGAAACATAAATTTTAATTCCTGTGCAATTGTCTCCAATTTTATCTCCAGAAATAACATCACAATAGGTTCCAGCAGGAAGCCCAGTTTGCAAAGTTAAAGACAATGGCCTGTAAAATAAAATTTAAGATGTAAGTTGAGTTCAAGATAACAAGAATATAGACTACCTCTAAAATAAACAGCTTAATTTTGTACCTTAACATACTAAGCAAAGTGAAGCAAATCCAACAAAAGACATAGGATGTAAATAGACTTCTCAGGAGCTCTCATAAAAATTCAGGGGGAAAAGTATAAAAAGTGCAGGAAAAGAAATACAGAGAAAAAGTACAGTAAAACATTAATATTTCCATGTTTAGAACATACTATTAAAATAAATGTTGAAGGTAATCAATGAAGATTTGAGGGAATTGTCACCCTTAGGTAAAGTTACTACTTTTGATAAACAAAAATATTTTAAATTTATCTTCATCTGAACTGTTCTTAAGTTCAGAATTTCAATTTCATTTTTATTTCAAAAATCTCATTTTTCAAGAAGGTAAGTGAATTTTTACTAGAAACAAAAATAATCAGGAATTTCAGTGACGAAGTGTATGGTTTGAAACATCAAGCTTTTATGTAAGTTTTATGTAAGTTTACTTTGGTTCTCTTATCTGTAACAGACAAACATTAAGAGGATTCGTC